ATGAATGAATGAATGAATGAATGAATGAATGAAAGAAAAGGCAAAGGGGGAAAGGCATTCCTGTGATGGTTCAGTGGTTAAGAACACTGACTGTTTTTCCAGAGGACCCATTCAATTCCCAGCACCAACATGACTTCTCACAACCACTGTAACTCAAGCTCCAGCCTCTATGGCACTGCATGGATGTATATGCAGGCAAAACATCCATAGGCATTTTTTTAAATAAGTTAAAAGAGGGGTGGGGCAAGGCAATGTGAAAATTGATCATCTTTATTATTCAACTTCATTTGATTTTGTGTATTAGTAATTTTCCTGTTGTTGTTTTGGGACGCTGTCTTTTCTGGGCTACAGTTGGAGCCAGCCAACCAGCCCATAGTTTGTGCCTGAGGGGGAGTGTGGACCAAGGAGGGCTAGCTAAGGGAGTTAAGAGGCAAGACAGAGACACAGGAATATTGTCAGGAGGGCCATTTGGTCCATACTGACCGCTTTGAGTTTATTCTTCAACATACCCAAACTGGGAACAATGGTAGAAGACTTCTGTTATCATATATAAGGAGCGAACAGACTTCCTTTAATCCTCCAGGTATTTGGTAAGCCACACCTGAGCTGTCTGTTGTTATTTAGATAAAGACATCATCTACCAAGGCCGGCAGCCGTCAAGCTATAGACTTATAGGAATAAGGACAGTTTGAACTCCCTGACCTTTAGTCTAGATGGAGTGGAGCCATCTTTATTTTATGTGTGACAAGGAGCCCACTTGAGGAAAGAGGGGTTTGTTTTAACTCATGACAGCAGGAGGTGGTCGGTCACATTGTATGTGCAGTCAGGAAGCAGAGAGCAGTGAATGCTGGTACTGGCTCACTCCCTCCTTTTCCTCCCACACACCAGCCCAGGGAATGGTGCTACCCACATTTCGGGCGAGTCTTTTCACTTCAGTTAACCTAGTCTGTATAGATTCTGACAGCAGCGCCCAGGCTCAACTCCTAGACTATTCTATATCCTGCCAAGTCAACTGACAGTATTAACCATCACAGCTTGTGTCATTTCCTCTGGTTTCATGGCTCTCCATTTATCAGTTATGGACAGAAATTTTCTATCCAATGGGACTTGGCATTTTGTGTACATATTAGAAATGAGCCAGGAGTGGTGGCTTGAGCTCATGGAGGCCCACATACTCCTCCCCCACAAGTGTTGAGACTAAAGGTATGCACCACCATGTCTGCAGAGCTACAATTAGTTTCTTTAACATGTAGAGTGACTTACACACAGAGGATCTATGTGTCAGGGGATTTGGGGCTTCATTAATACTTTCAGAGCCCTTAAACTGTCTGTTAGACCTCTTTCTATGGCTAAAGCAACTTATTTTTATAGAGGAAAGTTTATTGGGGGCTTGCTTAGTTTTAGAGAATTGGAGTCTAAGAGGTGGTGGAGATCACTGCCCCAGGCAGGCAGGCAGGCAGGCAGGCAGGCAGGCAGGCAGGCAGGCAGGCAGGCAGGCAGGCATGGTGCTGGATCAGTAGCTGAGAGCTCACTGCCTTATCTGCAAGTAGGAGGCACCACCTAGAGCTTGATCTGGAATGGCCTGTGCTTTTGGAAACTTCCATCCCATCCCTCAATGACACACCTCCTTCAATCAGGCCATGCTTCCTAATCCTTCCCTGTTCCTCCACTGGGGGACAAGCATTCAAATATAGGTGTCCAAGGGAGCCATTCTCATTCAAACCACTACAATTTCCAAGTCAATTTAAAGCTTTGAGTGGAAAGCTCAAAGTTTTTCTCTTGGGACCAGGAGCTGTGCTTAGGATGGAACCCTGGACACACACACACACACACACACACACACACACACACACACACACACACACACACGCACGCACACACACACACACACGCACGCGCTCGAGGGAAATAAGTGGTCCACCACTGAGCTGCACCTTAGTTCCCACACATGATCTTGACATTCAGCAGGGTCAGTTCTCATCCACATTGTCTGTAGGCTTTTGAATGTGGTAACAGGCACCTAGGTTACAAGTGTATACAGCCTGTTTGGTGAGTCCTCATCCTCGTTATGTTTTCTGGACAAACATACACGGATACGGTCTGGAACATTCCTTATTCCTTCGGCCCAGATGGCTTTATTGAGCCTGGTATCAATGCGCACATCTGGGATCCCCATCTCCTTCACAGCAAATTTCCGGATTTCTTTGAGTGCCCAAGGGGCAAGCTTCTTGAAGCCCACGCCATGGATGCGCTTGTGGATGTTGATGGGGTACTCTCAGGTCACCATCTCACTGATGGCAGACTGGCCCTTCCTTTTCTTGCCACCCTTCTTTGCCGGAGCCATCGCCCAGGGCCGCAGAGCCTCTGAGCCTCCAGTCAGCATGGAAAAAATCCTCACAACCTGCCCTGACCCGCCCCTGGGGAGTATGGAGGTGGATTTCAGAGCCAGGACCCCACTGCCATCCATCTTGAATTTTTCTTAACCCATGACCCCTTCCACTTCACACAGGGAAACTGTCTGGGCAGCCAGCTTTGGTTTTCTTCTGTGGCATAAATCTGCAACATTTGGTATAGCTGCAGTGAGCATGTGGAAGATGTTACCTTTCTGGTGTTAATAAATAGGCAATCTCCCCCAATTTCACGGCAATGTCTTAAAGTCTTCCGCTAAAGATTAATCCCTTTGAGGTCTTGTTGTCTTTGCGTTTAGCTTTTTTGAGGCAGGTTCTGTCTGTAGTGCTCCTATGGAGCTCACTGGGTAGATCAGGCTGGCCTCGATCTGCTTACCTCTTTCTCTGGAGTGCTGGGACTAAAGGTGTGCAGCACCATGCCCAACTCTTGGTTTGCTTGTTTTTTTCTTTTTAAGAGATTCATTTTTATTTTATGTGTGAATATTTGGCCTGCATGTCTGCCTGCACACCATCTGCATAGTTGATGCTGACAGAGGCCAGAAGATGTCACGTTTCTCTCTAGAACTGGAGTTACAGATGGATGCCAGAACCTGGGCTCTAGAAGAGCAGCCAGTGCTATTAACCTCTGAGCCATCTCTACAGCCTGAATCCGTTTGTTTTCCTTTTCTTTAGTACTGAATTAGACAATGAACTCTATGGAGTCTGACAGGGGAAGTTGGCACTAAACATGAAAAACAAAACAAAACAAAGCACCCAGAAGCCAGTTTTTGTATCCTATGCCTATACCCTAGCATCAGAACTCTGAGTCAAAGTTAGCCTGGGTTATGTAGTGAATTCCAGCCTGGGCTACAGAGCAAGAGCCTGTTTCATGAATAAACACACAAACAAACAAACAGTAAGTAAGAAAAAAGTATGTAAACTAAGGAAAGCAAGCCAGTGAGCAGCATTCCCCATGGTCTCTGCTTCATTTCCTGTCTCCAGGTCCCTCCACGGCTTCCCCTGATGATGGACGGTGACCTGTAAGCCAAATAAACCCTTTCCTCCTCAAGTTGCTTTTGCTCATTATGTTTATTGAAGCAACAGAAAGCAAGCTAGTACATTTGAAAAACTAATTTTCAACTCTCCCCCCCCCCCCAGCTGTAGGTTATTCTTGCTAAGCGCTTTGGGTGGAGGAATGCATGGCTGAGTGGCTGTTATTAGTTGGGGTTCTCTACAGGACAGAATTTATAGAATGAGTACATACCTATGGCTTACAGGCTGTGGTCTAGCTAATCCAACAATGGCAGTCTACCAATGCATGGTCCGAGAGTACAATAATTGTTCAGTCATCGAGGCTGGATGTCTCCAATGGCCTTAAGTATATGCTGGAACCCCGAAAACATAGGCCAGTGAAGGCATGAACTTGACCGTGAGAGTGAGGGCCAGCAGGCAAAGAGAGAACTTGCCTCTTCATGTCCTTTATGTGAGCTGTTAGCAGAAAGTGTGGCCCAGATTAGAGATGTCTCTTCCCACCTCAAATGATTTAGTTAAGAAAAAAAAAAAATCCCTCACAGGTATGGCCATCCACTGGGGTTTTGGTTCATTCCAGATGTAGTTAAGTTGACAACAAGAACAGCCATCACTGTGGCTCTGGACTTGGGCATTTCTGGGGCTTAGTTAAGGGGCACAGTATCTTACCTGGAAGTCCCAAGGTAGAAAGGACAGTGCTGGGTGGTGGTGTATTCAAAGAACAGGTTTTGATGGGTTAAGGAGGACACTGAAAGTTCACTGTTGGTCCCCACCCCAAGGTTTATCTTTATTTCAAGTGTATGAGCGTTTTGCTTGCGTGCGTGCGTGCGTGCATGCGTGTGTACCTTGTCTGTGCATGCCTTGAGGAGACCAGGCTCAGATCCCTTGGGATCTGGAGTCATAGACTGTTGTGCGCCGTCATGTAGATGCTGGGATTCAAACTTGGGTCCTTTGGAAGGGCACCCAGGGTTCTTAACCGCTGAGCCATCTCTCCAGCGGTTAAGACATTTCTACTTTTCCATGGTGGCTCACACCTTTAATCCCAGCACATGGGAGAAGGAGGATCTGTGTGAGTTCAAGGCCAGCCTGAACTACAAAGGAAGTTCCAGGACAGCCAGGGTTACACATAGAAACCTTGTCTCAAAAAAAAAAAAAAAAAAAAAAAAAAAAAGAAGAAGTGACAGGGATGACAAACGAGTCTCACCTGTCTACTCATTTTGATAAACCTGCAATGAATTCTGGTGAGGATTCTGAAGAGCTGGAGGGATGGCTCAGTGGTTAAGGACAGTTGCTTCTAAAGGACCTGTGTTCAATTTTCAGCATCCACCCGGTGGCTCACAACCATCTCTAACTCCAGTTCCAACAGGGTCTTCTGGCCTTAGCAGGCACCAGACACACATGGGTGCTTGGTGATACATGCAAGCAAAATATCCATACATATAAAATATAATTGTTTACGTTAAAAGTACATACATAAAATAAGGGCTCCTGATCAACTCTTTGTTCAGGATGGGGGAAGCTATACGGCTCATATTGATGTCTGACCTTGGAGAATTGATTTTTGCCTACTCTTTCCGTCTCTAGGGACCCAGCTGAAACCTGGCCTGGGAGCCAGGATGGCCACCCACAAAACCTTACTCATGTGCCTAGGACTGCCTCTGTTCTTCTCCGGGGCCTGGGCCCAGAACCATGCCCCACCTGGCTGCAGCCCAGACCTGGATCCACTCTACTACAACCTTTGTGACCGCTCTGGGGCTTGGGGCATCGTCTTGGAGGCGGTGGCTGGGGCCGGCATCATCACCACGTTCGTGCTCACCATCATCCTTGTGGCCAGCCTTCCCTTTGTGCAGGACACCAAGAAGCGGAGCCTCCTGGGGACCCAGGTGTTCTTCCTGCTGGGTACCCTGGGCCTCTTCTGCCTCGTGTTTGCCTGCGTGGTAAAGCCGGATTTCTCCACCTGCGCCTCTCGACGCTTCCTCTTTGGGGTCCTGTTTACCATCTGCTTCTCCTGCCTGGTAGCCCACGTCTTTGCCCTTAATTTCCTAGCCCGGAAGAACCATGGGCCCCGGGGCTGGGTGATCTTCACTGTGGCTCTGCTTCTCACCCTTGTGGAGGTCATCATCAACACAGAGTGGCTGATCATCACCTTGGTACGGGGAGGCGGCCAGGTTGGCCCTCTAGGCAATGGCAGTTCCGACTGGACAGTGACCTCCCCCTGTGCCATTGCAAACATGGACTTTGTCATGGCACTCATCTACGTAATGCTGCTACTGCTGGGAGCCTTCCTGGGAGCCTGGCCCACCCTGTGTGGCCGCTTTAAGCGCTGGCGGAAGCACGGGGTCTTTGTGCTGCTCGCCACGGCCACCTCCATCGCCATCTGGGTGGTGTGGATTGTTATGTACACCTATGGCAATAAGCAACAGCATAGCCCTACCTGGGATGACCCCACGCTGGCCATTGCTCTCGCTGCCAATGCCTGGACTTTTGTCCTCTTCTATGTCATCCCTGAGGTCTCCCAGGTGACCAAACCTAGCCCAGAACAGAGCTACCAGGGGGACATGTACCCTACCCGAGGTGTGGGCTACGAGACCATCCTGAAAGAGCAGACCAGCCAAAGCATGTTTGTGGAGAACAAGGCATTTTCTATGGATGAGCCAGCCTCAGGTGCGGGGTGGACTTTGTATATACCCTTGTGGGGGTGTGTTTGTATGTCGGGCTGTGCTTGTGTGAGACTACATAGGGTCTCATGTAGCCTAGGCTGATCTCGAACTCACTATGTAGCTGAGCCAGGTCTTGAACAGATCCTTCTTTCTGCCAGTTGCTGGCATTATAGGTATGTGTCAACATCTCCAGCATTTGTTTGTTAAAATTACATTGATTTATGTATTTAGTCATTTCTTTCCTACCATGTGGCTTCTGGGGATCAGACTCAGTTTGTCAGGCTTGGTGGCAAGCACCCTTATCTGACTGAGCCATCCTTTTTTGTTTGTTTGTTTTTTGAGACAGGATTTCTCTATGTAGCCCTGGCTATCCTGGAACTGGCTCTATAGACCAGGCTGTCCTTGAACTCACAGAGCTCTGCCTACCTCTGCTTCCCAAGTGCTGGGATTAAAGGCATGTGCCACCACTGGCTGGCTGAGCCATCTTTTATGCCATATCTTTTACTGCAGGGCAAGGAGCCGGTTTCTTGGAATATCTGTGAATATCTGTCTGCTTTGAAGCCCCTGTGTTCAGGGATGGAGCATGTAGTGTAACTCAGTGGTAGATTACTTATGTAGCAGACCCAAGGCTCCCGGTTTAGTCTCTGGTACCACAAATAACCATTCCTGCTGGGCTGTAGTGACCTTAGCAGCGCATTTGTTAACTGTAAGGAATATTAGCATTTATTTGGATGCCTGCTGTTTGCTGGGCTCCAGTGCTTGTGAGCCACAAGCTGTATCCCCCTCAGGCATGACCATAGCTCTGCCAGACCCCAGATGTTTGTAAGATATGTCAGGGCTCTAGATGCAGCCTGGCTGTCACACACTGGCTCTGGCATCTCTGAGTTCAGTTAGAGACATGGACATTCTAGAATCAGAATCCTAGGGTCCCACGTGCAGACTGTGACCCTCATACTGCCTGCCTTGTGGAAATGGGTGACCCTTGCTCTTGTGGACACACGGTCTGTGATCTTATTCCCTGGAGATGACTGCTGTCCCCACACTGGGGTGGCTTCTGGCACACAGAGTGGGCCACTGAATGTGCAGGGAGGGGGTCATTCTGGAAGCCAGAAAGATAGAAGATCTGGGCAGGTGCTGGGAGGGGCAGCAAACCCTGTCGCCACCCCTCCACCCCCCACCGCACCCCCAATTCCCCCCCCCCCCCCCCGCTCCTAACTTAGCCCTTCTTTGTCAGGCCAGAGAGTTCTTAATCTTTTTCTTCTCATGGAGATACTCCTGGGATTTCTTTTTTTCTTTTTTCCAAAATGGAAAAATCAATAGCACGAGGCCAGCACTTAGGAATCCTGCATAGGTTATGGTCCCTCAGCCCTGCAGAGGACAACTGAATCCTGCATCCCTGGCCCCTCTGGAAGGCCTGTTCTCCAGCAGCTCCCCTCAGATACCCCAGAGGTGCCCACCAAGGTGGATCAGATGGAAACCCTCATCAGAAGGTGCAGGAAGCTACAGATCTCCCTGGGAACTTGCCATGGGGCTCAGGATGGACTGATTGAGCACCAAGTCTCCCTGGCTGGACCCTGCATGGCTACACACTGGCAGCCAACCATGCCCCGTGAGGACATGAACACATAAAAAAGCTGTGGGGTCTCAGCTGTATTTATTTCCCCGTGGGCCTGGCAGAGGCAGGAGCTGGAGGCTGGCCATCTTGGAAAGCTGCCAAAGGCCCTTATGCCCCTCATGGCCTCTGGCTCTGAGGCCAGATAGGATGTGAGAGTTGCTGACAAACACGTTTTTTCTGAGCTATAGGGGCGGGACTGATGTGTGTGTGTGTGGGGGGGGGTTGTCCCATGGTGTCGGGAACTAGCAGCACTCTCTCGTACATCCTAACGAAAGAACACAGACATGGAAGGGAGCACCAGGGCCCCAGGGCCCCCATTTCCCTATGTCCAGGAGAGTTGCTTGGGCTTTGGGTCAAAGCAGAAGATATGAGTCCAGAAATCTTCAAATTTGACCTTGTTTTCCCCTACAGCGAAGAGACCCGTGTCACCTTACAGTGGCTATAACGGACAGCTGCTGACCAGTGTGTACCAGCCCACCGAGATGGCCCTGATGCACAAAGGCCCGGTGAGTTGGTCCCCCAGGTTCCCGGAACTCGGTTGAGAGCCACAGAGCTCAGTCTGAGTCTGCGCAGGCAGCGAACCTGTGGCTGGATAGAGAGGCATTAGGGTATGGCAAACTTCTGTGGCATCAACCCTGCCAACCCAGGACACTAGCACACTGCAGTGGGACCTGCCCTGAATCACTGGGCATCACCCACAGCCTGCTGGCACTTGGATGCAGAAACAGGTTTTAAGGACCATCTTTTGGCTACAGCTTGCACCACCAGCCTGGGCTATGTGAGACCCTATTTCCGTGCCTGGCTAGCAAGTCTTGACCTTATACTCCCCTGGGCTCTGGGAGCCGGTACTCCATTAGTTAGGGGTCGGTGGGAACAGGAAGGAGGTGGATTAGATTCTCACTCCGTATATATTCCTCCTCCCTGTTGGCAGTGGTTGCCAGAGAGGTCAGCGACCTGCCTTGGCAGGGTTCTGGGAACAGGAAGCCAGGAGGTCAGCAGGGTGCTGTTCCCATCCCTTTCCCACCCGCAAGCTAGGAGCAGGGGGTGGCTGGTGTGTCTTGAGATTTCCAACCCCAGCTCTTTTCCCCTTGATACCTCTTCGCCCCCAGCCTCTGAACCTTGTCCACAGGAGTCACCCCAGCCTCTCCCCCAGTTTGGAGGGTGACCTGAGCCGGACTCAGACCACCCAAGCGAGTAGCAGTTGAGAACTTGCTTAATAAGCAGACTGGGCTCGAGGTGGGGCAGTTTATTGTGACTTCTGTGTTGGTAATCTGGGACGTGGGGGCTGTTGACATCACCTGGTAGCTTGGGTTCAACCTAAAAGGGAGTAACTCCCCAAGGCAGAGCTACAAGGATTTTCAGGGCTTTCCCATCCCTGTAGTTTTAAACATTTGCCAGCCTATCTCAGGGTGGGGCCCAGTTAGGGGTGGAGCTCAACTGGGGGTGGGGCTTGACAAATTATCCTGTTAATATTGATGCCCTCCCAGATCCAAGTGTCTTAGATGGCAGGGAGTGGCTGGATGCTCCTGGAAATGGGGGCCCCCCTCCACAGGTGGGAAGGTCACCCGTATCTGCTGGTTTGGGAGCCTTGGAGTTTTAGTGGTAACACCTGTCTAACATGGTGCGACCACCCCAGGGTTTTATGTACCTTCCAGGTAGAACATTTGGGCTCAGATTCCTAAGCCAGAGTTATATGAGCCAGGACCTATCAGAAGGGTACTGAGTGTTGTAGTGACCTTTTGGGGACTTGGGTAAGGCACTTGTGAGTGGTAGTAGTCATGTAGTGGCAGCTTAATGGCAGCTGGCCTGAGGTTTCCCTGAGGAACTAGGAGCAGGAACTCAGAGAACCGGTCTCTTCTAGGAAGCCCCGAGGTGTTCAGGGACCGTCTTCTGTGCTCAGAAAGCCAGTCCTCTATTTCCAGAAGTAGAGTCATTCATCTTATTCTGCCAGCAGGACCCTGGTGGAATGGGGGTAGGGGGGGTCAAGGGGTGGGGGCTGGCAGGCACAGCCTGCAGGAAGCTGAGTGTTTGTGCATTTGCCCTGGCGGAACCTGGCTCCCGATCCCCCCACTGTGAGCCCGCCTGTTCTTCCTTCCAGTCCGAAGGCACTTACGACATCATCCTCCCACGGGCCACCGCCAACAGCCAGGTGATGGGCAGTGCCAACTCAACCCTGCGAGCCGAAGACATGTACATGATCCAGAGCCACCAGGTGGCCACACCACCGAAAGACGGCAACATCTCTCAGGTCTTTAGAAATCCCTACCTGTGGGACTAAGGCAGCAGCTGTGGCCAGGAGGAAGTGGGCGGATTTGGAGAGGGCACTCAGGACCTGGCCTGGGTGAGGGGCCCACTAGGGACGCCGTGCTTTGTGGCTCCCTTCTCCCTCACTGGCTCAGGGTAGCTTATGCCTCAGGGTCAGGTCGGCTGATCTGCCAGTGTTTGGGTGGGTGTCCTGGGGGCCCCCTCCCTCTCAGTATTTGTGGAGTCCAGGCGCCTGCCCTGGTTCATGCCAGGGCCATCTCTGGTGATCTGCTCCATCCAAATAGTGTTCTGCTTGGGGTGGTGGCTAGTCCCATGCCTACACTCTCCAGTGACACCTGCAGCTTCCAGAAAGCTCAGAGAGGGTGCCTTGGGCTGGGTCCTGCTCCTCTGTGAGGAGCAAGGGCGCCTAATAAACACATCATTGCTTTATTAACTCTTGCTCTGGGCTTGTGGTTTCTGACTGGGTTCTTGCCTGCTGTGACTCCTTCCTTTCTCCATGGTGGGTCAGTGGACCCTACTCTCCTCCTCCCATGCAGCTCTTGGGGCTGACGCTGCTCGCGTCTCCCATGGTAAGGGGCTGCCACCTCCTCCAGGGTGGGGTGCTCTGGTGTGTCTGACATTAAGTGCCATCAGAATGAGCAACTCAGCTCTTGTCTGGACCCACAGCTGTGAGGGTCCAACCTGGGCAGCTTTCTCAAGGGTTTCTTTTCCTGGCTACATTCAGAGATAGACAGAGGAGGCAGTCCCACCAGTGGGCAGTTCTGGGGTGCAGAGGGGGTCAGCTCGTCTGGGCCTCTCCCATAGGAAGTTCACATACTTTAGAGGGTGAGGCCGGCAACCGTTGTGAAATCATGCTTCGAAACATGAGTGAGATGGCTGTTTATAATGTGGGGTCACAAAGACAGACAGGCCAGGCTAGGTCCTGGTTGGTCCAGGGGTCGCAGCAACATGTACTTAGAATTTGGGAATCAGTACGATCTTTCTCCAACAACTCAGGCTTATCTCCATGACTGGAGGGGGTAGGTAGGGCACGGGATGGGGCAGGATGGGGCAGGATGGGACCAATCTTTCTTTTCATTTCCAGAGCCAAAACCTCAGAATGCTGTCACTGGGTTATATTGGGTCTTAAGGGTAGTTCCCAGTCTCTGTTATACACAGAGTGACACAGTCAGGCCACAGAGCCTCTAGGTAGCTGGACCAACACTGGACAGACTGACTGCCCCAGCTTTCATTCTTGGCTCTCCCAGGGACAAACCAGATTGTCCTGGGCTCTGAGCTGCCTCTGTCCCTTCTCTCTGGATGGGATAGTGTTCAGACCCTTCAACAGGACTTGAGAGCCTGCCCATCTCAGGCTTGGGAATGTTCATCTCCAACTAGCCAGAAGCTATTTTCTGATACCAGTTGTAAGGGGAGGAAAAAAGAAAATAGTTTTTTGTTGAAAGGGAGAGAAGCGTTGTTGGAAGGAAACTCCAGACTTCTCCCAAACTTCTATGTTTAGATTGCATCACTCCCCGCAGACTGAGCCTTTTTTTTTTTTTTTTTTTAAAGTACAATCCAGTACTTGGAATGTGAGCAGTAGAGTCCATCCCTTTTGACTCTTGTTCTTTCTGGTTACTTTAGGATCAGTCCCCGAAAAACAAAACGAGATGGTAGATGCCCTCTTCCCTGGACCACACCTCATCCGGATACCCTCACTGCTCTGCATCCAGCTGAGCAGGGCCCAGCAGTTCCCCCACATTTGTCCTTGGAGCTGGGAGGGACCAGAGGCCACCAATGTGAAGCTTTGCACTGAGTTGGGACCTTGGGATAGGCCTGAAAGCGTGTGACTGCTGCTCACAGGGTCACCTACCCTCCTGCCCACCCCAGCCTCCTGGTCCCCAAGTGACTGCAGCTACGGGGGGGCTAGCCATCGACTCCTCTCTCCTTCCTGCATTAACACGTCCCCCAAGCCACAGTGTGTGTCCCCTTGTGGTTCTCCAGGTGGTTGCTGTCCCACTGCAAGCATCAGGTGTGTGATGCCACTGCTTTGACCCTGGACCTTCTTGGCCATGTCGGTAACCCATTTGCGTGCCACGCAGCACACCTCATATGTGTGTCCGTGGGTCTCTGGAGACGAGCCACACAGAAGCTGTTGTCCCTTGCTCTACTCTGGGCCTCCTGCCACTTTTCTAGACGGTGCAAAGTCACCAGCTAGGAGCAGAGCCCAGGTTGGGCAGGCTGTTTCTCATGACCTGAGGGTCCCAGGTCCTAGCACCTTTGCTCCTGGACTGAGTCTGCCCTACCTTCAGTGAGCTTTGTCAATCATCAGAGCAGGACCGTTCACTCTGCCTGTCCTGCCCTCCCGATGCCCATTCCCTTTGGTAATGGCAATCATAACACTTGCCCCACCCGGCGAAGCGTTCTTGTTGTCCAGCCCTGCCGCACAGAGAGCCCCACCTAAGAGTAGAAGAGCTTGTGGGCCGCAGTGGTGCTTAGAGCTTTGCACTGTTTCTGTTCCTCAGTTACCCCCTGGCCGAATCTCCCCAGATGGTTCCTGGGACAGGTGCACAGGCGGAATACCTGGATGTCTGGGTTCTGCAGGTACCTGCTGGGACTACTTGGACATATGTGGTTGGGGTCTGGGAGCTCCCTTAGGAAGCAGTGGGTGGGAGTCAGGGCTGCATTCATTCTCAGGGCAACTTGAACCTTTCCTGTGTCTGGCTTGTGGGGTGTGGGGTCCAGGACTGGAGATTGCTTATGGGAAGATGTCTAAGTTTCTACCTCAGCTTGGGCAGCCGATGTCCTTGGGACACCTGGACAAGCCCTGCCGCTTTAATCACTAGAGGAGCCTCTAGTGTCCTTGACCTTTGGACATGCACCTGAGGAGCCCGCTGTCCACCCAGGTCAGAGAGGGCCATTTTCAGGCTTTCGACACCGATGACTGAGATGATCGTAGTGCCAGACCCTGGAACCAAGACCACCACACCATCATCCTTTGTTCTACCCTTGGGTACCAGACAGAGCCTCCTCCAGGCCCTCCCCAAGTATGCCCTGGAGCCTGGCCCTTAGCCCAGCACTACTTAGTGCTGAGGCAGATGGAGGTGAAGTTGAGTGAGTGGCTTCCCATGCTGTCCTTAGCAGCCTGTGTGTGCCTTTTATCATTCGGTAAAATGTCCCTCACAGAGTGGGACTATACTCCAAATGTGACTCCTCCTGCCTTGACCTCTCTGTTCAATGAGGATGCTCAATCTGTGGGCAATATAATCCCCCCCCCACACACACACACAAAGGAAGGTGGTCTCCATGCACCTCACTGTTCTTAACCTAGAGCTCTGAAATCTGTCACAGCAAGCAAGCGACTAGTTTGCTCTCTTAAGCGATTCTTTTAGGACTCCGAAAGCACCAGATGCTTAAGTGTGCAGCCTGTGGTGGGTGTGGCTGTTTATAGCCCAAATCCTGGCTGCAGTTGCAGCTGAGGAGTGATGGACTCCTGGAAGATGCAGGCCTGCTTGGACGCAGAAGTATCCGTGGTCCTTACTCTGTGTCTTCCAGTTTCTGTTCCAGTGGAGAAGTAAATTTTTAGGAGGCTGGGGGGGGGGCGGGGCTCCCAATTAACAGCGCTGTGTCACACTCAAGTCTTGAATGGGAGACGAGTAGGCCCATGCCTGGTTCAAGTTCATCATTCACAGGCCACTCCCTTGGTAGATGTCACAGCAACACTGTTAAGTCCTCTCATGGATGTAAATGGAGGTTCAGCTTTGTAACTACTTACAATTAAATGACTGTCCTTTCTTTGTGAGGGGTTAATGCCTCTGTGTTCCTGTATGCTTCTAAGGCATTCTTGGTGTCTGTCAGCTGACCTGCCTACCTCTTACCCCCCACCCCCTTCTCTGCTGTACCAGCGATGGCTGTCTGACTCCAGATAACTTCTCTTTGGTTAAAGACTTTAAGGGAGGAAACCAGGCCTCCAAAAGACATTCATTTCTCAGCTGGGCATGGTGTTGCATGCCTTTAATCTAGTACTTTGGAAAACGAGGCAGGCAGATCTTTATGAGTTCCAGGACAGCCAGGGCTACTGAGTGACAAGGGAAGAAAAAGAAGAAAAAAAAAAAAAAAGGGGGGGGGGGACATTGAGCCCAGCAGTGGCTTGCTCTTAATCCCAGCTGGGAGGCAGGGACAGGTGGATCTCTGAGTTTGAGGCCAGCCTGGTCTACAGAGTGAGTTCCAAGACAGCCAGGTCTGTTATACAGAGAGACCCTGACTTGGAGGTGGGGTTGGGGGGAGACCCTGAGTTCTTACCAGCAAGCACAGATAAATGGTTCCCACACAAGATGTAGGGAGGGAGGGATGAAGGTGGGGACACCTCAGATGATGTTTTGCTCACAGAAAGGCATTCAGGATGATCACAGCTGCCCCAGGCTAAGAGGCTCTGTCATGGCCACACCCAGCTTGCTCTAGTGGCCCATGTACTTGTTCCCCAACACTTCAGCTCCTCACAGAAGAGATGGGAAGCTTAGGTGACTTGCCTGGCTATCGCCACTCGGACATCCTCACCAAGACCAGCGCTTTCTCCAGCTCTACAGAGGACACTCCAAGGTTGTGCTCAGGGGGCTGCTAAACAGACTTCCTGCCTGCTCTCCCCGCGCTGGGTCCTCCAGGAAGCTGCAGCCCCCACTTAGAGCAGCACCATGAATTATTTAGTATGTGCACCAGCCAGAGTGCGCTGACCTCATCCTCCTCCTCAGGCCCCATGTGGCTCTGACCTCATCCTCGTTGAGGGAAGGTAGCTGTTAATGGGCAGAAGTGGGGGTGGTGGGTCCCATTGGGGTGTCAGTAAGTGAGAGGGAGGTACCAGCAGTCTCAAAGAGGTGGTCCCTGAGACTCGGTTACCTTGGTAACAGGAAGTGACTGTGCAGAGTGGAGATGTCTATATATGGTATAGAAATCAAAGGGCGCTTGCTAGCTGTGGCCTTGCACAATTTGTTTGACCCCGTCTCAGTCTCCTTTCACCTGTAAAATAGTGACAACCTTTGGAGCACTCTCGGGAAAGCCGCTGTCAATGGGAAACACTCAATGTGTCCTCCCATTCTAGCAGGCCTCTGGACTGGACCATTTGTTGTCCTTGAACTTACCATATCCTTGCTTGCCCTAGGCACTGGGTCCCCAGGATGGGTGCAATAGCTGGTTTGGGGGTTCAGGGTATATGTTGGTCTATGTTGGCAATTTCCTGATATGTAAGGGGGAAGGTGGGTTGCACAGGAAATCCAAGTAGCCAGGCTGCTGCGGGGCTGGGACCAGACAACTGCCCCCAAGTACCTCTAGGGGCATCGAGAGGAGGGGCAGCTGTGATCCCTTTCCTCCTTCACTGGGAGAAATCTGAGCACTGAAGTTGTGAAGGCTTCAAATGGCCTTTCCAGCGTAGCATGGCCTGACTCTGCTCGTTGTCGGAGTTGGGCTGGCACAGCAGCCCCTGCCCAAGTCTGCGGAAGAACGGGCAGATGAAAGGTCACCACAGGGCTGTGTCTTACACGGGAGCTGAGGTGGGTAGGAGGCTCATCCTAGCCAGCCATCTGCCTGCTGGCTCCCTGGTGAGTCCACAAAGTGGCGGAAGCTTGCGTCACCCCTCTCCCCACACAAGGGCACTTGAGAGTGCAACGGGTCCGGACCCGGGAAGGGTTTATAGTGAATTCCAGTGGGGGAGGTTCAGACAGGACCTTGCTGGATCCTCGGGGTCCTGGCTCGGGATATCTTCCGCAAACACCCCTACTCTCTCCTAGGCTTTGGGGTGTCGGGAGGGGGAAGGTGGCTTGAACTCCTGGAGCCCCACTCACTCTCCTTCTAGGGCTCCGCCTCTACAGTCCCCAGCCAACCCGAGACCGCCTCCTACTCCCATCTAAGCCCCGCCCTGATGCCCTGCAATCAGATCCCCTTGAGCGCCAGCCGGCGCCAGCTGTCCCTAGCTGTCCCTGTTCCTGCCCAGCCCTGGGTGAGAATGGGGTGGGGGATGGGAAAAGGATTGTGAGGATTGTTGGGATTAGCCCTCGGTGTCCCCACCTTCCCCCATCCTTAGAGCCCGGGGTAGAGATAGTTTAGAACGCTCTGTCCCACCCACCCCGCCAGCCCAGGATCATGTGTGTCTCAGCCTAGCTCAAGAAAGCAGGTCCCTGTCTGCAATGAGGACAGCACCTGGATCAGCCTGCCTGGGCAGGGAGCCCCTCCACTGTGCTGGCTGGGCTTCAGGGGGCTTCAGCCTGACATCCGGGAAGAAAAAACATTCTTTTGGTGGGCGCTGTGTGTGGTGGGTTGTTGAGCGGGGTCCTCTATCCACTAGATGTCAGGATCACCAAGTCCCAGATTGAGACAACCAAAAATGCTTGGAGAGGTGGCAAATGTTGATTAGGATTGTCCAACGCCTGGGCCGAGGGAGTTACAGAGGACCTCTGAGCCAGCCACACAGGAACCCTAGAGCCCACATAGTCCCAGATCCCATACTTCTCTGCTGATGGGCAGCCAGAGAACCCTGACCTTTGGCTACAGCAACACTTGATCATCAGATCCCTACTTCCTGCCCGGTGAACTGTCTTGGGACAGGAATGCCACTCACACAGGTTTGTTTGCTGTACACTGGATCAGGGTATCTGGGTCACGAGAAAGACCCACAGTCAGGGCCCAAGGTCAGGGAGAATCTGGGCAGCAGGTGTCCAGCTACAGGTCACAGCAGGGGGCAGGCCACACTTGGCTGAACACAGGTCTTGTGACCCTCAGGAGGATAAGTAGAATACCACCCAACACACACACACACACACACACACACACACACACACACACACACACGAGTTGGGGTTTGTAGCCCAGGCAGATCCCCTCCAGCCCCTGTACCAGATCCCTATAGGAAAGGCTAGCTGAGCCGGTGTGGGGGCAGGATGCTTTCTGTAGGTACAGAGCCTGTCCTACTGCAACGTGCATTTAGGAGACTCCAATCCCAGACTCAAATGGTATGGTTTTAGTAGCTCCCTAGCCCCACCCACCACATTCA